TGAGAATAGAACATTGGCCTTAAGCTATGTTGTAAAAGTTGCTTTAAATTTATGATAAAGTTTAAAATTGTATGTATTTGTATGTATCTATGTGTATGTACTATGGTGCATGTGTAAAAGTCAGAAAATAACTTTGGGGAGTTGGTTCTCTCCTTCAATCATGTGGGTCCTGGGGGCTGAACTCAGGTCATCAGATTTAGCAAGTGCCTTTAACCATCTTGCTGGTCCTGTTCCTGTTTAGAGATGGTCTTGCTATGTAGGCTAAGGTGGCCTCAAACTTACTATGTAGTCCTCAAAGGCCTTATAGTTGAAATCTCCTCACCTCAGCCTCCTGAGTGCTGGGATTATAGAGATGTGTTTTTTTTTTTTTTTGTTTTGTTTTTTGTTTTTTGTTTTTCGAGACAGGGTTTCCCTGTGGCTTTGGAGGCTGTCCTGGAACTTGCTCGGTAGACCAGGCTGGCCTGGAACTCACAGTGATCCGCCTGCCTCTGCCTCCCGAGTGCTGGGACTAAAGGCGTGCGCCACCAACGCCCGGCTACAGAGATGTGTTTTATGGCTTTAAGTTATTCATTGAGAATGCCTCTGAAAGAATAAAAACATATGGCAGGTATGGTTAGTGAAAGCCTGCAATTCTGGCACTAAGGCAAGTTTGAAGCCAGCTTGGACTAAGTAGAGACTCTGAGGACAAAATATAAATATGGTTAGGTGTGGTAGTATATGCCTTTAATCCTAGTTATCAGAGATAGAGGTGGGGGGCTTCTGTGAATTCAAGTCTATGATAGTCTCTTTTGTGTGTGTTTGTGTGTGTGTGCGTGTTAGGGGGGAGTACGAGCACATGAACACCATAATATGCACATGAAGGTCAGAGGGCAACTAGTGGGAGTCCATTCTCTCCATCACGTGGGTTCCAGGGTTCAAACTCAGGTCATTAGGTTTGTGGCAAGTGCCTTTAACTCCTGAGGCATCTTGCTAACACAAGAAGTTTTTTCTTTCTTTCTTTCTTTCTTTCTTTCTTTCTTTCTTTCTTTCTTCCTTCCTTCCTTCCTTTCTTTCTTTCTTTTTCTTGGTTTTTCGAGACATGGTCTCTCTGTGTAGTTTTGGAACCTATCAATCTGTAGACCAGGCTGGCCTCAAACTCATCTCTGCCTCCTGAGTGCTGGGACTAAAGTACACAACCAAAGCCCAGCTTAATTGGTTTTTCAAGACAGGGTTTCTCTGTGTAGCCTTGGCTGTCTAGGAACTCGCTCTGAAGATCAGGCTAGCCTTGAACTTACAGAGATCTGCCTGCCTCTGCCTCAAAAGTGCTGGGATTAAAGGCATGCACACCACCACACCCAGCACACAAGTTTTGAATTTTTTGGTTTGTTTTATGAGACAGGGTCTATGTAGCCCTGGTTGTTCTGGAACTCTATGTAGACCATCCTGGCCTTGAACTTTCAATGATCTTGCTTGTCTACCAGATACCGGGATTACACAATGTACCACTGTGCCTGGCAAGAAAAAAGGCTTTTTGGGAGTTGTTTTTTGAAACAGGGTTTCTTTGTGTGGCCCTGGCTGTCCTGGAACTCATAAAGATCCATCTGCCTCCTGAGTTCTGAGATGAAAAACATGTAGTGCCAATACTGCCTCTCAAAAAGAAAGAAAGAAAAAGATCTGTTAAGGGTTAACTGGGTTTCAACAGAGAAGAGAGACATGGCTTTCTCCAGAGAAAGCATTCTATAGAGCACAGTTTTAAAATACTTATGCCAGGCTACCTCTTATTAGTATTCAATTTCCTGTACATAGACTTAGAAAGATTATCCTGTCCTCAGACACAGTATATTTCAAGACTAAAATTATTTTTTACTTTTCTAAATGAAAGACTTTAAAAATTGTATTTTTTTTAGCCGGGCGTTGGTGGTGCACGCCTTTAATCTCAGCACTTGGGAGGCAGAGGCAGGCGGATCTCTGTGAGTTCGAGGCCGGGCTGGACGGACAGCCTCCAAGACAATAAAAAGAAACCCTGTCTCATAAAAACAAAAAAAAAATGTATTTTTTTAATTTTATGTGTATTGGTGTATTGTCATGGATGTGTGGTCCCCAATTGTGAGCTAGCATGTGGGTGCTGGGAATTTTCTAGAAGAGCAGTCAGTGATCTTACACTGCTGAGACATCTCTCCAGACCCCTTTGACTTATTATTTATTTATTTTTTTTTTGGTTTTTCGAGACAGGGTTTATTTGTATTGTTTTGGAGGCTGTCCTGGAACTCTCTTTGTAGACCAGGCTAGCCTTGAACTCACAGAGATCCGCCTGCCTCTGCCTCCCAAGTGCTGGGATTAAAGGCATGCTCCACCAACACCCGGATTGACTTTTTTTTTACAACAAATTTTATTTTGAAAAGAGGTCAACTTAATCAGATTTGAAATGAACTCCTCTGTGTAGCATTGGAGTCTGTCCTGGAACTCACTCTGTAGACCAGACTGGCCTTGAATTCAGAGATCTGTCAGCCTCTGCCTCTTGAATGCTGGGATTAAAAGCATGCTTGATAAGGAAGAGGTCTTGAGAAGGATTTTACATATGAATGAGTGATAAAAAGAACATGACCTCAAATAACTGTCCTTTTTTTGTTTGTTTGTTTTTTGTTTTTTTACGAGACAGGGTTTCTCTGTATTGTTTGGAGGCTGTCGGTCCAGCCTGGCCTCGAACTCACAGAGATCTGCCTACCTCTGCCTCCCGAGTGCTGGGATTAAAGGCGTGTGCCACCAACGCCTGGCATAACTGTCCTTTTAAAATATTTTCCTTATTAATTTTTGAGACAAGGCCTCATTAGGTATCCCTGGCTTGCCTGTAACTTCTTATGTAGACTAGACTTGCCTTGAACTTGGAGATTCTCCTACCTCTGCCTCTCCAGTGCTGCAATTAAAGGTCTGTGCCACCATTCCTAGTTTAAAGAACAGTTGTTGATCTGTTAATGAAAAGGTTTTTTTATTTTATTTTAAAGCACTGTGGTTCACGCCTGTAATAATCCCAGCTCTGGGGGCGGGGGGCAGACACAGGATGATCAGGAAGGAGTACAAGACAGTTGAGCTACAGGATGCCCTGTCTTAAGAAATGAAAACCAAGCAGGGCATTGGTGGCGCACACCTTTAATCCCAGCACTTGGGAGGCAGAGGCAGGTGGATCTCTGTGAGTTCCAGGCCAGCCTGGTCTACAGAGTGAGTTCCAGGACAGCCTCCAAAACAATACAGAGAAACCCTGTCTCGAAAAACCAAAATAAGAAATGAAAACCAAAGTTAAAAATGTTTTGGGAAGTTTTCATATAGCAAATTAGTTAAGAGAACGGCATGCAGACATGGTCTGGAGTCACTGAGGCTTAAAGCATCAGGGGTGAGGTGGGGGTGGAGCGAAGGAAGAGAAGCCTCCTTGTGAGACCAGACAATGTTCAAAGAACAATTTTAAAGACACAGTAAAGACTGCAAACTGAAAATCAAATTAACATTTGAACTCACTTACAATAGATGTAAGTGGAAAAACATAATTCCAAAAGACTCCTATGTCTTAGGCCAGTCATACAAAGAGAATTATTAGGGTCAAAGATCTTAAAGCTAATGGGGGTGGGGGTCTGGCGCATTAGTAAAACTGTCTAGCAAGCAGAAGGCTCTGGGTTCCACCCCTCACAGAACCAAAGAGAAAAGGAAAAAAAAATCAATTCAAAACAAAGCAAAACAAACAAACAAAAAAATCAAACAAAGCAAACCACCTAACAAAACCGTCACCTCTCAAGGTAGGTGCAATGCCTAATTCAGGAGGTAGAGGCAGGTGAATTTCTCTATGTTCAGGACCAGTTTGGTCTACATGTTGAGTTCCAGGCCATCCAGGGCTATATAGTGAGACCCTGTCTCAAACCAAAAACAAAGAAACCAAACCGAACCAAAACAAAACCTTCAAAAATCTTAATTGTCAAATTCTTAAGGACTTAAAAAAAAACCGACAGGCAGTATTACAGTTGCAGAACGTAAAAAGTAAATGCACACATCATTATTGTTTTACAGGTAAAAGAAATATTAATTCATTACTCTTTTATTTGAGGGCTCCTGAAAACAAAAACAAAAACAGATGGGATAATGAAAACCCAGACCCAAACAAACACAAGGTTTTAAACTTAATTTCATGGGAATATGGCCTATTAAAACTTGGGGTGCATGAACAGCTTAATGACCAGGATAAGCTTGGCCAGGAATCTGCAGTGTTCTCTGTGAAGACCCAGCTCAACCAGAGCGTTTCATGGCCACAATACATTATCCAAAGCCCACCCCTGACAACCAAAACACTAGGAAAAAAAAAGGCCCCCGGGGTTACTCTACTCCAGCGATAACATAATCCCAGTTCTTATTGTTGTGGAGCAGATGTCGTTATGGGAGGGGCTGAGAGCAGAGCAGCTGAAACATTTTTGTTGTAACCCCCCCTCCACTGTCTAAGGGGTAGAAGGGGCTCCTGCAAGGTAAGGGAAGACCTTTCGGTCAGCCATTCCCGTTAGAAAGAGGGATTTTGGTGTGATAATTGTAAAGGCAAAGTCGAGGTTCTTTATTTAAAAAAATCCCCCAGGATTAAGTCCTACCCTGAAGAGACTGTCCCTTTCTCCCCCTGCCGGCTCCTCCTTGGGACACTTGGCTGAGTCTTTCTTTCCCTGCTTCCCACGCTGAGGTGAGGCGGCACGCAAGCAGGGACGCCAGTCTTTCTCCGGCGCGCGGAGGGAACGCAACGGGTAGGAAGCCGGGAGGTAGGAGGGGAAGCGGGCGGCATTGGGGGGCAGGCTCGCCAGGGACCAGTCGGCCTCAGGGAGAGAACCGACTCCCGGGCGGCGGGGCTGAGGTGACGCGGGGAGATCTCTGGCTGTGAGCTGAGACGCGGCGCTTCCGGCAGGCCACGGTGGCCGTTTGCCTGGAGCGGCCCGCATCGCGGGGCCCGGCCGGGCGGGGAAGGGGGTCAGGAGAGACAGGAACCCGCGGCTCGCACTTGCCTGAGTCCGAGTGATCAACAACTGGTAATAGTCTTTACTCGGCGCCGGGCCTTGTCCTAAAATCTCAAACAGAGTCTCCGGCAGCCACGACGCCATCTTGGGACGCCACCGCCGTCGCTAGGACAACCAGGAAGGGGCGGGGCTTGACAGGGGTCAGGGGGCCGCAGCCCCAGTCGAAAGCGAAGTCCGCTTTTGAGTTGGCAGTGGGGGTTTCAACTTGGGGCGGTGGTTTCCTTTGCCAGGGGTCACAAGGAACCCTGCTTTGTGAAATGTTTACAATCAGGTCCTGGGTGACCCGGAGTGGAATTTAGTTCCTGCTAGCGCGGAGGGGCGGGGGTGACCCCAGCGGAGGGATACCAAGTGGAGCGCCAAGTCCCCTTCCTGGTCCCTTGAAGGGATCGGAAGGAGACGGGAGGCTGCTCGCCGAGTGGAGTCGAGCGCTGGGGAGGGAGGGGCGTTATGTTGGGCTGTAAATAGGTAGCGGGGCAGGTCCTGCGGAGGATCCCGCAGGCCGGAGCCTCAGGACAAAGTAGTCCCCTGCTGGAGTGGAGCGGGCGGGGAGGGAGGCGGCGCGGGCGGAGGCGCACGGCGGCGCGGTGCTGCGGCTCAGCTGATAATTGAAGGGAGGACAAGCCGCCGCCGCCGCCGCCGCCGCTGGGGGGGGGGGGAGCCAGTGGAAGTTGCCGTCGCGCCACCGAGTCCGGACCGGAGACTTTGGGGCCTAACTAGGTAATTGGGACGCGGTTCCGAGCGGCGGGGTTGGGCCTTGCGGGAGGGGGCTGAGGAAGGACTGGGAAGCCTGAGCCGAAAGTCCCAAGCAGCCCGCTCGTGTCATCGTGGCGACGCGGCTCTCGGCTCGACTCGCTGGCGGCGGCGGCGGCGGCGGCGGCGCCGCGGAAGGACCAGCCCGAGGCTGACGGGTGAGGCGCTCGAGCGAGCCCGCGGCCTGAGGAGCCGGGGCCGACCGGCTTGGGGGTGGGGGGGGCGCTGGGTCCCCGCTCTGGCCTCCCGAGATGAGGAAGGCCCTAGGCGGAACCTGGGTAGGGCGTGCGGGTCTGGGGGAGCCCAGCGGGGGCCGGGAGGGGACCGGAAGTGGTCTTTGGAGCCTGGAGGGCGTCTAGGAAGAGAGAAAGTGGGGGGCCGGAAGTGCAGGTGGGGGGCGTGAAGACGGCAAGGGTTCCCCGGAAATGGGACGGGGGGGCCCGGAAACAGGGAAAGGGAGGCTCTGGGCCGTGGACGGCCCGGAAATGGAAACTAGGGAGCAGCTCGAGTGACAACTGTTGTGAGGCAAGGGTCTGAGGAGGGAGAGGCGGGAGTGACTTTGGGCCGCCGTGGTGGTCTCCTCGCTGAGGGGGACGGTTGGGGGCCGGCGAGCCGGGCCGAGCTGACGCGGGGAGGGCGGCTTTCCCGGCTGGGCCAGTCGAGGCTGAGGGAGGACGACGACGTGCCTGCCGGGCTGGCAGCGGCCGCGGTAGAGGCCGAGAAACTTGGCTGAGGGAAGCAGCATCCTCTGAGAAGACCGGCAGGGGCATAGGACGCAGAGGTTAAGCGGGGCTTGCCGAGGGAGGTGGGCCAATTGTCATCCCAATCGTATTAACATTCAGCGCGAGTCGGGCGATTAATATATGTGGATTACATAAAACCCATTCCGCCGTCCGCCCGTCAGTTCAACTCTTCCTCGTGATGAGGGGAACAAGTTACAGGCAGGGGTGTTCAGAAAACGAAGGTTTTAGGACCTTAGCCTTCTGTCTTTCACTTCCTCGGAATAAGAGAAAGCCTTAATTAGTTAGAACGGAGAAACATTAGTCGAATTAAAAAAAAAAAGAAAATGGGGGTGGGGTGGCTACTCTAGGTGGAGGGGAGGGAACTGATTACCTCGGGGATGAGAGGAAAACGGCTTACCACCCTTCCAGCAGATTCTTTTCTGTTAATGCGTTTTATTTTGCCTGGGAGAGATTTTAGCTGTAGCTTCTTGCCGGGGGTTCTGGGTTTTAGTGTCCTTGCTCCGTTAGTTGGGGGCGGGAATGTTACTAGGTAAACGTGGGGGTGGGGTGGGGTGGGGGTGGGGGGCGGTTGATGGCGCAGTGACTCTGTTCCGAGTGGTCTAACCGCTCTCCTGTCTCCTTAGTCTGAGCTCGCGATCTGGCCTTGGCTGCCAAATCACCCGATCTCCAGGCTTTCTTCGGTTTGTAGGCCTTGTAGTGGTGTCTTTTAACTTTCTTTTACTCTTGACTTTTAGATATTTTTGGCATTAAATTTTTTTTAAAGACTCGGCAAGTTGAAGCTTAGAATCTCATTTCTAAAACCAAAACAAAAATACGAGATAGAAAGCTGAAAGAACTATTATTGAGTAGGGTGAAAAACTGATGCTGGAAACAAAGGTCTTAGTTATGTTAGGAAAAAAGGCAAGAGGCCTGTATATGAGGTCTTGTTTGTGTCAAATTTGGAGTTACTGCAAATTTATGGATAATAAATTGTGGAGGGTATTTAGAGGCCCATTTTATGCTTATGCAGCTACTTCAGTATTAAACCTTAGGACAGTAATTTACTTCTTGTTCCATGTTTATCCAAGACCTGGTATGGTTTTCTATTTTGTAACATAGTTGCTACTGGGCTTTGTGTATGACTGCTTTTCTACGACTGTACTAATAGAATTGCAGCACTGTAATTATTATTGCTTCCATCTGCCTCACCGTGTTTCAGAATTGTGAGTAGTGTTTAAGTCTGCTCAGCTGACATTCACTTTTTGTCTGATCAGGCGTTTTGGTTTTTCATATGCTTTCTACAAGTTTGAGAATTCCGGGTAGTTCCAGAAAATGCTATTGTAAAATTAGAAAGTATTGCCGGGTGGAGGAGGCGCCTTTAATACCACCACTCCGGAGGCAGAGACAGGCGAATCTCTTTGAGTTCGAGGCCAGCCTGGTCTAAGAGTTGAGTTCCAGGACTGCTAGAGCTACACAGAGGAAACCTGTCTTGAAACAGACAAACAAAAAGAGCAAGTATTAAAGATGGATGGGAATCTAATAAGAGTAGACAAAAGTAAAAATCAGTTTTTTTGTGACTGAGGGGAGTAACATTTTTTAATTAAATTATTTGGAATATATTTTACTCAAGCTCCCAAAACAAATGAGTTATTTTGGTTTTGAGTTACTGAAATAAAGCCGGATTAAAGTAGAAAACAAATGACATTTATTTAGTTAGAGCTGAAATTAGTGCAGACTTTCCAACCAAACTTATGTCCCATGCAGCTTTACAGTTTTGAAGTGTCTACTAGGTCCAGCCCTTTGCTTTTTTCCCCTTTTCTTTTAGTCTTTTCTGTCACTTTGCCTTCAGTCTTTTTCTCTGCCTCTGATTCATCCACACTGGGACTGTCCATGTTTTTCTAGAGGAGTCTTTCTTTTAATCTCAGTCTCAATTTTAAGTCATGCTCCAAGACTGGTACTGTCACTCTTTAACATCTTTCTTAAAACATCACTGTCTACTTTTAGGAATTCTTTTTAAGTGTGCTATTTTCCTTTGGGGCATCTTTTTTTTTTCTTTAGCACAAATTTCCCCCCCTCCCTTTTTTTTTTTGGTTTTTCGAGACAGGGTTTCTCTGTATTGTTTTGGAGGCTGTCCTGGAACTCGCTAAGTAGACCAGGCTGGCCTCGAAATCACAGAGATCCGCCTGCCTCTGCCTCCCGAGTGCTGGGATTAAAGGCGTGCGCCACCAACGCCCAGCCCACTTTTTAAAAAAGATTTTATATTTTATTTATTATGTATACAGCACTTCGTGTATGCCTGCAGGCCAGAAGAGGGCACCAGATCTCATTACAGATGGTTATGAGCCACCATGTGGTTGCTGGGAATCAGGACCTCTGGAAGAGTAGTCAGTGTTCTTAACCTCTGAGCCATCTCTCCAGCCCCCCTTTTCCACTTACTTTTGAGCACACCTTGTGAAGGACACCAACTGAAGCTATTTATTTTGTTTTTTTGAGACAGGGTTTCTCTGTGTAGCTTTGGAGCCTGCCCTGGAAATCTATGTAGACCAGGTTGTCCATGAGCTCAGAGATCTGCCTGCCTCCTGAGTGCTAGGATTAAAGATGTGCGCCACCGAACTGGCTTTTGAAAAATCTTTTATGTGTATGGGTAAAAATTATGCCTTCATGCTTGTCTGTGCCAGTGTGTGCTTGGTCCCCACTGAGGCCAGAAGAGGGCATCGAATTTCTTGGAACTGGAATTATAGACAGTTGTGAGCAGCGGATTAGGTGCTGGGAATCTCTCTAGCCTTTGGAAAAGCAGCCAGTGCTCTGAATTGCTGAGCCCTCTAACTCCTTATTCTATTTAAGAGAGACATCTCCTAGAGAAGACACATCACTAACTTAAAGTTGATGTTACTTCAGTATCAGTGTGACCTTAATCTAGTCCTTTAATCTATTTGGTCTCCATTTTATCTTTAAAATGTGAATAGGCAGTATTCTTCACTGGGTGGTTTTGGAAACCCAGCAGATATAATGATAGTGGAAAATATATCCCAGCCACTCAAGAAGGATATTCATATTAGAAATTTATGGTAGATGTTCCTGGTCCCTGTCAGTAAGAATACTTTTTTTTTTTTTTTTTGAGACAGGGTTTCTCTGTAGCTTTGGGGCCTGTCCTGGAATTAGATCTTATAGACCAGACTGGTCTCAAACTTAGAGATCTGCCTGCCTCTGTCTCCCGAGTGCTGGGATTAAAGGTGTGGGTCACCAATGCCCAGTGGAAGAGTTTTTTTTTAAAGATTTATTTTTTTTTCATGTATTTTATATATATGAGTGTTCTATTCACATGTATTCTTGCGTGATAGAAGAGGGCATTAGACCCCATTATAGATGGCTGTGAACCACCATGTGGTGGCTGGAAATGGAACTTAGGACCTCTGTAAGAGCAGGCAGTGCTTTTAACGACTGAGCTATCTCTCTAGCCCCCTATTACATTCCTCAAATGAATGAGTAGGATAAGGATGAACAAATGTGTTAACTTTATTATTAGCAAGCACAGTTAATTAATTTTTGAGAAAATGTAGCTAGGAAGACCTCTGACTAATCATCTTCCTACTTTACCTCCTGCTGGGATTATAGGCATGCTCTGCCACACTGGCCTTGAAGTAATTTGATGACTTAAAGTTCTTATAGATACCAATCTGGCTTTCATGTTCCCCTCATTCAAACCCAGTAGTAAGCACCTACTATGTACATAGTAGTCAGACGATATAATAAACTTAACTTCACCCACTCAACCCTCCATACTCTCCACCCCTTCAACTCCCTTCCCCCCCAGGATTCTTTGTTTAACAGCTCTGACTGTCTTAGAACTCTCTTTGTAGACTAGGCTGGCCTCAGAACTCACAGAGTTCCACCTGCCTTTGCCTCCCAGTCTCTGGGATTAAAGGTGTGTACCATCACCAAAAGCTCCTTCAGCTCACTTTTTAAATTATCTTCTGATTTTTTTTGTTTTGTTTTTGAGACAGGGTTTCTCTGTATTGTTTTGGAGGC